TGACGCCGCTCGCTTGCCGCTAGTTTCGTTGCTAGGGAAGATGGTAGCAGTTGGTGGTGCGGCTACGCAGTTGTAAGGGAGAAGTCCACTACAATACTCCCCCTTCCCTCCAGGCAGTGTAGGAGACTTGTTGTCTGTAGAGTTGCTTAGCACATGTGAGGCAGACCGGGCGGTGCATGCCTCATGTGAGACAACGGCGATGGCGTGAATGAGCCGATCGCTGAAATACAACTGTCTAGATACACGCTATCTGTGGGAGAAGGGAGAAAAAGGGTGTGTGGAGGCGATGAATGTTGTGCTTCCCTCATGACAGGTACAGGGTAGTCAGATGCGCCTGCTGGGGTGTGTGTGGGCCTGGGTCAGGAGCAGGGGCTGCGTCAGCAGAAGCGGATTAGGGCTCGTGACAGCAGCTGGGTCCACGACAGCAGCAGGGTGCAGGACATTAGCAGGAGTACCTGAGGGAGAAAAGAGGGTGTGTGGAGGCGATGGCGTGTTCAGGGGTCGGTAGGATGTGGTGCTTGGGGGCAGGAAGAGGAGCTGGTGTCTGCTTAGAGTAGCAGAGCTGCTTCTGTGTGGATAAGCCATTCTTCTATGCTGCTTGAAGACTGGGAGCGTGATCAGTGTCTCCTCCATCCTGTGTGAGTGCTAATCTCCGGGAGTCACCATTTGTAGGAATTCGTGGTATAATGTGTCTAGCACTCAGGATGGATGGAAACTCTAATGTGGTTTTCTTGTATAATATAAGTTATATGATTTACAGTCTGGTGCTGGAGGTGCCGTGTGGTGAGGAGCTGCTCAGTAGAGATGTTCGGTGAGTAGCGTGTTGAAGGAGGTAGATGTGCAGGAGCTTCGTTAGAGAAGATGTTGCCTGTTGCTGGCCTCCTGGTTGAATGAGTGCTGGAGGGCGTGGAGCTTGCTGGAGGAGGTGTTGCGTGTTCAGGAAGATGGTCAGAATGAGAGTTGGTTGGTGAGGAAGCTCAGAGAAGGACAGCTGGTGGGTCGCCATGCTCGCTGGCGGGAGCGAGGACTGCCAGGCAGGCGAGGAGAAGCGAGGGCCGCCAGGCAGCGGCGGAGGAGGAGGTGTTGCGTGTTGTAGAAGAGAGGCTAGAATGAATCTCAATGGAGAGACAGAGCATATATACCCAGCAGCCGTGAGTCATCTATGAGTCATGTTGGGAAAACCCGAGAAGTAACCCGTCTTTTGCTCGGTTGCTAGGATACGATAGCATCTGGTGACGCCACTCGCTTGTCGCTAGTTTCGTTGCTAGGGAAGATGGTAGCAGCTGGTGGTGCGGCTACGCAGTTGTAGGGGAGAAGTCCACTACAAGACATTAGAAGCATAATGTATTGTCTAATGTTAGACCCTGTTGCCATGTGGCATCACAAAAATTGTGACTAAGTCCCAGGTTGCTGATCTGCCTTTCTGCCCCATTTACATACAATTGCAGGGTTTAAATTGTTTCTCTTACTTTGACAACACAACATACATATATTGTTTCTCACTTTTGATCTTATTTTTTCTTCATATTTGTATTTCTTTGTGGTTCTTTATTATTATTATTATTATTATTATTACAGTGTTGTTTTTATTTTATTATTTTTATTTTTATTTTTTTATTTTATATAATACATTTTATTTATAATGAATTAATATTATTATTATTATTATTATTATTATTATTATTATTATTATTATTATTATTATTATTATTATTATTATTATTATCACAATTTTGCCCTCCAGGCCCCGATCTGGGGTCAGTGACCTTTGCCCAGGTGGGCTTGTAGTGGACGTCTCCCCTACAAACTGCGTAGCTGCACACCACCTGCTACTGTCTTCCCTAGCAACCAAGCGTATCCGCATTCCAATGCCCGCCGTATCCTAGCAACCGAGCCAAAAGGCCGGCGACTTCTCGGGTTTTCCCAACATGACTCATAGCGGCTGCTGGGTATATAAGCTCTGTCTCTCCATTGAGATTCATTCTGACCATTCTTCTTGAACAAGCAACACCTCCTCCTCTGCCGCTGCCTGGCGGCCTTCGCTTCTCCTCGCCTGCCTGGCGGTCCTCGCTCCCGCCAGCGAGCATGGCGACCCACCAGCTGTCCTTCTCTGAGCTACCTTACCAACCAACTCTCATTCTGCACCTCCAGCACCAGACTGTCTATCATATATCATATAATATACAAGAAAACCACATTAGAGTTTCCTTCCATCCTGAGTGCTAGACAACATTAATATCTCGATACCCCTACAATGGTGACTCCCGAAGATTAGCACTCACACAGGATGGAGGAGACACTGATCACGCTCCCAGTCTTCAAGCAGACACCGGCTCCTCTTCCTGCCCCACGCACCACATTCTGACGACCCCAGCACACCCGTCCTGCCTCAGACGCCGACGCCGGCCCAGCAGTACCTGCCGTGAGGGAAGCACACAACACCCATTGCCTCCACACCCCCTCTTTTCTCCCTCAGGTACTCCCTGCTAATGTCCTGCACCCTGCTGCTGTCGTGGACCCAGCTGCTGTCACGAGCCCTAATCCGCTTCTGCTGACGCAGCCCCTGGTCCTGACCCAGGCCCACACACACCCCAGCAGGCGCATCTGACGACCCTGTACCTGTCGTGAGGGAAGCACAACATTCATCGCCTCCACACACCCTTTTTCTCCCTTCTCCCACAGATAGTGTGTATCTAGACAGTTGTATTTCAGCGATCGGCTCATCACGCCATCGCCGTTGTCTCACATGAGGCATGCACCGCCCGGTCTGCCTCACATGTGCTAAGCAACTCTACAATCAACAAGTCTCCTACACCGCCTGGAGGGGAGGGGGAGTATTGTAGTGGACGTCTCCCCTACAAACTGCGTAGCTGCACACCACCTGCTACTGTCTTCCCTAGCAACCAAGCGTATCCGCATTCCAATGCCCGCCGTATCCTAGCAACCGAGCCAAAAGGCCGGCGACTTCTTGGGTTTTCCCAACATGACTCATAGCGGCTGCTGGGTATATAAGCTCTGTCTCTCCATTGAGATTCATTCTGACCATTCTTCTTGAACAAGCAACACCTCCTCCTCTGCCGCTGCCTGGCGGCCTTCGCTTCTCCTCGCCTGCCTGGCGGTCCTCGCTCCCGCCAGCGAGCATGGCGACCCACCAGCTGTCCTTCTGAGCTTCCTTACCAACCAACTCTCATTCTGCACCTCCAGCACCAGACTGTCTATCATATATCATATAATATACAAGAAAACCACATTAGAGTTTCCTTCCATCCTGAGTGCTAGACAACATTAATATCTCGATACCCCTACAGGCTAATCCTTGTAAAAAAAAATAATAATAGAATGATTATCTCCCTCTATAACTAATATCAAGAGAAAAGGTTTAAAGTTATGCAATACGTCGGTCTACTTGTGTATATTTCAGACAAGACTATACAGGGGTTTGCAAGTGTACACGATATCTTGATCTGCCTGTATTTATGCACTTCCCACACTATTTTGCTGTTTACACCTTTCAGACCCTCTTATCTTACAAAATATCGCGAGCGTTATACTGTATAAAAACTGCGAGAAAACGACAGGGGACACGTTGGGTTTACCTGGCATTCCGGTGCTTGTACTTTTCCTCGAGTAACATGTTGACTACCAAGGTGAGATAATACTTATTTATCCCAGTGCTTCTCGGCACCTGCCCCATTCTGAGATCCTCCTCCCACACTCACCCAACAATCAACTGATTTATTAACTAAAATATTATCCAAGTCCTTGCGTCCTCTTGAAACGTTTCAGTTAGTTTTGAAAAACAACAATGAAAGCTAGAATGAATTAAATCAGGGTTTCCTCATCTCATTTTAAGTTTTTCTCCTAGTTTCGTGTATTTTCCCTGTGAGCAACGTTGGTGAGGCAAGCGTAATCCGCCCCATGCCGGTCGGCTAGAATCTAGATGGAGGTAAGGAATATTACTCCTTGATGGAGGGAAGAGAACTTTATAGGCTCTGAGAATACAATGCAGATGTAAGGTAAAGTTAGAAGAGGGAAGTACAGGGGAGATTGAAATCAGGTGGGCTATCCACCTGGCTCTTAGGAAACCTGTACTTTTATAGCTAAGCTGCTCCCTAAATGTATATATTTTCCCATTTCGAAAATAAGGAGATGCTCTGTTGTCATGGTTAGGATAATTTTGAATGACTTTGTGAAGAAAGGTAGATTTAAGGTAATTCCCTTGACCCAATCAATCCTACATAAGTAAGCATTAGTTTCTAAAACTTTCTTGGGCTATTCTTGGTCAATTCTACTTACTGTTTACCTTTGCATTACTGCGTTCATACTGAACCATTGTGAATTTCTACGAAGAATTTATTGAATAATTATCTAAGGTGGTGAAGGGGTAAAAAGATGAGAGGGAATTGTGGCATCACACGGCTTTAAAGGTTGAGCGGAGTAATGGCGTGCATGAATCATGATATACTCAGTTATATTAGTTTAGAATATGTAGCAATGTGAACTTATTTTTGTTTTCGTTCTCTTAGTTGGCTTTGGTGCAACTGCATTGTTCTTTTATTTAATGTTCTAAATGGTTATTTAACTTGCACTGCCAATGTTAGGTAAGATTTATTTTAGCCCAGCGAAATATTAATATCTGCATTGAACGTTTTTTGGTTATCGTAACTTCAAAACAGTGCCTCCTGGTGATGAATAAGGAAATGTTTCGCTTACATACAAACAGTCATAAAACTAATTAATGTGTTGAAATTCTCTATAACTGGCACCACAGATTTATTGATGTGGCAACTGTTATTTATATACGTAGGCATCATAATTTCAAATGGATATTTAGAAAGTTTATACACATATACACACATATCAATCATGTATATGGCTTAATCAGTATTAAAGGTTTAGCTATCACTTAGCATCGTGAACAAAAGAATAATTCCTTAAGTTACCATTGTATGGCAAGCTCGCGATTGCGTCGTCGGTAAGAACTGCGCATGCGTCGTTCAGAAGATGGCTCACCATCAGTCGGCTCCAATCCAAGAAAGAGTGTGGTAGTGTTCGGACATCTCTCTGCATTTTCTTGAATCTCTGTGGTTCCACATTTATTCCCAAGGTGAGAGAGTTACAGTGGTACAGCAGTGCTTTATTTAATGATATTAGATGTCCTCTGTAACTTTCCCACGCTTGGCTGTGACTATTTTCTAAGCGGGCGGGAATGTTTTTTGCTGCTTGAGCCGTTCCAGGTCCTAGGAATCGTGATGCAACTGCTTATCTTACTCGGAAAAATGGTGCGTTTGTGTGATAGAGAACAAGGCTGACTGCTTGAACAGGGGTTTTGTTGTGTGGATGCTGATAGTAAGTAGACGTGTTGAACGAGTTCCCGGCATCGAACACGTCACGTTATTCATCATGCGTAAGGTGAAAGACCGCGCACTGGCACTGTGTTTGGGTTGGGTTCGCCTGAGCTCGCGCCAGATGTTTTTACCTGCCATGACACCCAGATTTTGTTGTTACTCTTGCTCCAGATGGGATCTTGACTTCGTTTTGGCCAAGATGAAGCCTCCCAAAAACGGAGAAGACTTTGTGTTAACGCAGTTTGAAGTTCACAATGGAAAAAATTGACACAATTATGACCTGCAGTTCATGGTTTTGAATATTATTATTTTATGTAAATGCGCTTAATGTAAAGATAAAAGTTAGATATGGAACTTCAAATTGCATTGTAATGAGTTCCTCTAAATATTATTGCTACGTTATTGTAAATCATGAAGGCTTCAGTCGACTATAGAATTGTAAAAACAAATACTGGCTCATTTATTTATATTTTCCTGTGAAGTAATGAAGGTAGAACAGTAACATTATTTTTTATCAAAGAAAATGTTTATACAACGATAACTACTACTAAACTGATATTAGCCGAGTCATATACTTAAGTAACTTAACATTTCCTATTAAAGTGGCATGCACAGAAATGCGTGTCTTTTAATTAATATTTATTTATTTTTATATCTGTTCAGCAGTATACATTGGTAACTTAAGAATTTTATCTTTGCACTCAATAGTTTTGACAATTCTAAGACACTACTATGACGTTTCCCTCACAAATGACCTTAAATGATCTAACCTAACCGAATCTCACCTCTTTGGACCCTCCCCCCCCCCGATATATATGTAATTTGCGAGGGAAATGTCATAGACGAATAGTGTCTTAGAATTGTCTCGAAACTATTGAGTGCAAAGTAAAATAATTAAAATTACATGGTTGTGTGAAAGTAAAACAATACCTATATGTGTTCACCACATACGGTATAATATACACACTAGCTGTATATCGTGCTTATGTTGGAGTACTTGTCATTTAGTGGAACAATTAACTGCGTTTACCTATAGTTAAAATTTATTACAACCATACGGGTAAGTAGAGTACCCATAGGTTCACCTACTAATGTCTGGTTCGTGTTAAGTGCTTTACAAGGATGAGCTGGAAGCTTAAATAGTTTTGTATAGATATAAAACAGTGGGTGGATTAGAGCCACAAATTTGAGTCCTTTTGGTGGCAGAACATGACTTCAGGTCACATTTGCGTGTATATTGCAGATATGATCCATAAACTTAATTAAAACGCCAGTAATACGCCAGAAATTTAGTATATGTTCGCCGGTGAACGGAAAAAAAGTAACATTACTTGTACACATTGACAACACTATATATGATGGCTTTGCATGTAGGTTAGGTTTTTTCCGTGTCTTTTTTTCAGTGATTTTTTCCTGGATTCATTTTGGCCAGGTGAGGTTTGGTTGGTTTAGCTGGTCGTCTCTGGAATTGATTGTAAACAAGAATAAACTATGCTTACCAGTGGAATTTTAGGCGTTATTATCGTAAGGTCCCCCTTATCTTTTCCTCCCCTACCCAGGTGCCTTCTTGGCAATAAAGCGAATATATATCAGCTTCTTTATACGTAACATGCATACGTTGTATAGTAACTGCATGGCAATACACAACTACGGTAACAACTACTGTTGTGTTGTAGTATTTTGATATTTTCTTTACCCCATTGTTTCTTTATAGTTTGTCTAGCTTCAACTTCGTGGTTGATAAATGCTGATAATTTTTTTTCAGGCGCCTCACACGTGGGATGGGCCGGAGCGACTGGCGCCCTTTCATCTACGGGGGCTTGTCTGCCTGTATTGCAGAGTTCGGTGAGTACCACATGACATTGAATATGTTTATGCTATTCTGTAGCTCGGTGGGCGCTCTCCATGCTTGAGAATCGGACCATCTACATGGATTACAAATGTACATTTAAACTTATACGGTTTATATTGATTGAGGAAATTTTTAGTTGAAAATTTCTCATTAAACCTACCTTTAATGTATTTTAAGAAAAGACCTTAGGTATTAAGGAGAGTTTTATCCTATTTTGTGGTTCAGGCATATGTGATGACAAGTAGTGTTATTAATATATCCCAATCATATATGTATAACTCAGAAGTAGATGCCAGATATTGTTAAGTGTTAAACACTTTTAACCCCGACCAGTGAATACACATCGTTAATATAGCTAAAGCTGCCTCCCAAAAGTTGGGAATGCTGTACAGATGCCGTAGCTACTTCACTCCTGAGCAGTTGCTCCAATTATATAAGGGATTCATTCGTCCTAACTTGGAGTACTGCTCTCATATCTGGGGTGGCTCTTCTTCTGTCCAACTATTAGATAGGGTGGAATCAAAGGCATTTCGTCTTATTAACTCTCCTCCTTTAGTCGACAATCTCTCTTCCCTGTCTCTTCGCCGCAATGTTGCTTCACTCTCTTTTATAGGTACTTTAACGGGCATTGTTCGGTGGATTTGGCATCCTGTGTGCCGCCGGCAAGGCCGTGGGCTCGTAACGCACGTCTTGCCCGCGGTGCCCACCGTTTCTCTATGGATGTCGGTCACACGAGAATAACCCGTTATCGTACATCCTTCTTTCCTCACACAGCCAAACTGTGGAATGCTCTGCCTTCTTCTGTTTCCATACTTATACAATCTTTGTCACTTTAAAAAGCTGGTTTTCCGGCATCTTCGTGGTGTAGATTAACACAGTATAACCTTTTTCTTCTCTATTTTCAATTTATTTCTATTCCCTCCCCCTCCCCCCAGGCCCCTTTGTGGGTAGTTTGACCTGTGCCCGGGTGGGCTAATTCCCGTAAAAAAGAAAAGAAAAAAAACGTGTGGACGAAAAAGTATTTGAAGCCATCAGATTGTTTTTACGCTTTGATGTTTTGTCCAACTTGTCTTCGTTACGTTAATTTATAAATCGCGCCACAATGCTTAAGATAGATTGCACCGATTTTGGATATGGCGGAAAAGTTGATTTTCAAATGTGTATACTGTATATTGGTGTTAGGATACTGTATAGTAGTATCTTTTGATGGTTTTTTGTAATGTCAGTGAAATACCTGTTTGTTTTTCTTGAGTATCTTCATATCAGGAGTTGGGAAGCCAAGCCAAGCCAAGTTTCCCTCGGTAAATGAAAGGTCTGCTACTGTTGCTGCTAATCCACTAGGACAGCTTGGCCTGATGCCATATACAGGCTTGTTATGTTAGCGTGAGACTTGCTGTTGAAATATTTGAGTTAATGGAGCTTATATATATATATATATATATATATATATATATATATATATATATATATATATATATATATATATATATATATATCTTAATACACTCGCTTTTGTTTGTACACATCTCTTATGGTTAAAGTGATAAAGCAGTTTTTTCGTGTAGAGAGATATGTACCTTAAACCCCATGTTTATTTGAACCCATTGGTTGTGAAGTTGACTGGGTGTAGTTTAGACAGACGGTGAACGCCACCAGGTATTCTAGAAGTTTTTGTTTATCTCGTATATGGGATAAGTATTTTTTATCCTCTTCCTATTTGAAGAGTAATTAAGTAACGTAACATTTCTACAGTTCTGTTGATTAACGGACTGTTATATCACACGTTACATAAAGTACGAATTTTTGTTTCGTAAGCCTCTAATCAGTTGTTGGCTCGCGGTGGCATGAATCATAGCTGTTGTATCACGTGACGTGTAGGTGCTCCTCATGCTCATCTAGTAGTCGCCGGTCTCTTGTCCTAACAGTGTAGTGACGTAATCCAGCTCGCGATATGCTTAGTAATGCAGTAGTTGCCAACCCCCCCCTACAAGGGTACTGTGTGACCTCTGTTGTATCACTTCCTGTACATGTGATAAAGAAACCCGCGGCTCACCTGCTGGAAATGGGTCAGAAATTGAAATTGCATTACTTGTCCAAAACAGTAAATTTGATCATGTTTGTTCATGACTGATTTAGAGCGGTATAGTTTTGCGAATTGTATACGATTATGGCCCCTGTTGGTGAGCACGAGAAGATTGGTGTAATGAACAGCTCCATCAAAGATTTCTGATAAGTTTTATACCAGAATAGAAAGTGGAAAAAGGTTTGCTCTAGGTTTGATTTGTTGCTGTAGGATTTCTAGTTTGAATTGTTACCTTGTAAAATATGTCATCCATCAGCAAACTCCTTCTAATGTCTCATTCTTTGTCTTGATACAGTAGTGTGAAAATATTACAATGAAGGTTGACATTTCGGAGATTCTACTCAGCTTGTACATACCTTGGCTATATTTACGTCACCTGTCTGAGCTTTGCCGTCGTCGATGCCACGGAAGGAAGCAAGTGGGTTGGGAAGGTAGGAAGTCAAGGGGCCCTGCCGGGAGTACTGATTTGCTGGTATTCATAAGACGAAGCCGACAAAGGATACAATTTCTTCAACTTTCCCTTTTCCTATTTCTTTATAATACAGCATTACCCTGCCGTCGATAAATATACAGTAGAACAGGAATGTATCACTCGGAGTACTGTTTTGGTACATTTATATCAAGTCTGTTCACGCGGCAGCCACGGGAAGGGAGAACACATCTTGGCGATCAAGGATAAATTAACTAGGCGGATGGCAAGGAATTTTTCCTTGCATTTCTGTTTCGGTGATTCAGAACGAACACTTGATGCTAGCAGACCATGTACTGTAAGGGTGTTAGTGCCAGTGTATCTGAGGTTTATGCCTGAGATAAAACTAGTTTATTTTAAGAACTTTAAGTATGGAGAACATAATACGGGCGTGAGAGAATAAACAAGTACCCTGTACACACAGGTAAATAAAAGTTTTAGTTCTTGGTTAAGGAATAAAGTGTTTGCACTTGGATAAATAAAAATTGGATGTGTATACATAAAAGTAGTGTTTGCGCTTGGGTAAATAAAAAGATTATATCTTATCAAAAGCAACCATGACCAGTGTCATGGAAGGTTGCACCCTTGACATGGTAGAGGGCACGGTGTAGCTTCATCTTGGCTGTACAGTCCTTTCTACTCTTCGTCAGCAGCACATTGTGTAGTGTGGCAAACAGCATCACTTTCGTGTGGTAGAGGATGTTCACCCGTGCCATGGGTGTCTGCACTGTCAACACCAAACTTTTCACTATTATGTATATGGACTGATTACTCTGAAGAGGCGGGTCGAGATGGGGGGCAGTTGCATCCCCGATAGGCGCCCTGATGTATCGGATGACTAGGTAATGGGTTCTGGTTTGGGTGGCTTTCGTACTGGCATTCCGTTAATTGACAATTTTAAACATTATTGGGTTGGAAGCCAAGACAGTTAGTTGCCTGCCTAGTAATCCCAGTTTTCATAGTAGTTTCTGTCTGTCACGCTCCACGCCCGTGTTATCACAGCTCTTAGTTTACCAGTTTTCTAGCTCAAGGGTGTTACATGCCCTGTGTAAATGTTCCTTATGTAATTTGTAATACGTTTTTTTTTATTTTTTACATGAATCCTCATGATGGTAGTGTATTGTTGGCGACCAGTTGTACACGTTTTGTCCATTCTGTACGGACTGTTTAGGTAAGACTATACAATAGGCTACTCTGGCCGACGCTGATTGCCGACTGATTAGAGCACCGATTGTGGAACATTTTAAAAGACATGAGATACAGTATTTAGTCACTTCAGAAGTATTAGCTCAGTTAAATAAAATTACTAATATTAGACTATAAGAATGTCTAGACAATGTCACTGTTTGCTCATGTGAGACGAAGCCTCGTTATCTGCAGATGTACTGTACCGTTGAAGGAATTGGCTGCCAGTCCTTTTAAATCCAGTCAACACTGCTCCACCAACCACGTATAGAACCGGGAGTCGTGTGTAGGTGTTTGTAGCTAGTCGAGCTCTCCATATTTCCCCGAGCGTCTCACTTCCCAGGTTAAATATGATTAGCATTGACACCAGTCCATGCACGGACAAAAACTCACTTGTTTGGCAGATTGAGTGAATTTTTTTCTTCCCGTTTTGTGTCATTTTGAGTAAATATTCCTCAAGGGTGTGTTGAAGCTCGCATTTACCCGAACTATCATAAAAAATGAATTGTGGTGGTACACTAGTCTAGGACTCCACAGGCGCACGGAACCTACGATAGGGACCTCTGGTAATGATTTTTTTTTTTACTGCAAAGTGGTACTTAACCGCATTTGATTTTTAAATTATTTTATTTTTTAAACTTGTACAACTTCCTATTTTATATATATATATATATATATATATATATATATATATTAACTTATGATTTTCCTCATTGCCAGAGGTCTCTAATGTAGGTACCTTGCGGCTGTCCACCACTTTAGTCCTCCAGTGTATAAGTCCACATAGCATCAACACGAGGCCCAAAGGTGTTGCTGGGGAGTAAAGAAAAGCAGATCTCATTTATGTATACAGTTTTAGTAGATCACTGATGATGAGAGTTTACTGAAGTTCACTTGATATATTAACCTTTGAAATGGTCCATTAGTTTACATTTTCAGTCACACCTGTACGGTGTTAATTATTCTCAACATTGAGTCATGGTGGATATTCCTCGTGATCATCGTAAGGGTGGAAGGGCGTCAAATATAATGGCAAAGTGGCGTGTATTATTATGTCCCGTGAATTTACTGATGAAGACACACTAGGGTGTTATTAACTATGAATAATTCCTGGAAATTTGGGCTCGTGAACACAGTCCCCCAGCACCGGCTAATAGCCAGGATGATGCACGCACCTCCTGCACGCCACTCCCTATAGGTTAGTTATTTACCGTCGAGAGATTTTCACCAACGGGACAAAGTAGTTTTAGTTTTAT